GGCGGTGGTGGAGGGAGCTGTTCGTTATATTGAGGAATGTTTCCCTCGAGGAACTCGAGAAGAAAAATGAACATCAATTCAGATCGTGTCTTGTGGGAAGTTTGTTTTTGTGATAGAGATCTATCAGGACCAGGGAGTGAGAGAGGCATTAGATGGGATGCCCGTTGGTCAAGAGTATGATCAGATCTGATCGGGTCAGGAAATTGCGTTTGCCTGTTCACACTGTATCAATAATAATATGCTGTGCTTTGCATCATCAGATTTTAGTTAGTTTAGTTTTAGTAGAGGTTTTTCGGCGCTCGCAACTGCATAAGGTCGTATGAGCGCCAGAAGATTAGAGGTGTACACAAGAGAGTAAGAAACATAAAAAAAGGAGGGGAGACAAGGACGATAGATGTTTGATAGGAAAAAAGAAACAAACCACACCAGAGCAACCGCCAACCACCACCATCGTCATCTGATTTAGTCTTGAAGTGTATTTGGAAAGTCAAATAATACCGTCTGTCGCGTGCCGCGCTCACATATTTTTTAAACGATCTGACGTGCTTGCTTTATGGTTGGTTCTTTTCGTCTAACGTATCCGAGTGGGTGGTTGGCGGGGGCTCTGGTGTGGTTTGATTCTTAATCTTCTTTCCTATCAAACATCTATCGTCCTTATTTAGCAAATAATTATTTTTACCACATTTTCCAAAAATTCCCCGAGGATTTCCGAGCTTCATGTGGTGGTTTTGGTCCTTTAGGAGTCTTTGCAGTACGCTTTGGTAATCCATTAACACTTTCATAGTAATACATTTTGAAACATTCCTAGCTGTCTTTTTGGGGGGATATTTTTAAAAATTAGGACTCTCCGTCAAGGTGGTCCTTGACTTTTGTTGTAGTCTGTATAAGGACCAGGGAGAAGAATGGCGCGCCTCTGAGAGCGTGCGGCGACACAAGGGGAGACCACCACTCCTCACTCCCAGAGTTGTGTGTCGTTCAGGGGGACGTAATTTCTCAGGGGAACTAACTGGGGGGTTTTGTAATGAGCGGACTGGTCGCGGGGGATCGCCCGATGTCGCCCGGCATACGCTACTAACTGATGCAAAATTCTCCATCGTTCACCTCTCTCTCTCTCTCTCTCTCTCTCTCTCTCTCTCTCTCTCTCTCTCTCTCTCTCTCTCTCCCGCTCTCTCTCTCTCTCTCTCTCTCCCCCCTCCCTCCCCCCTCTCTCTCTCTATTTGTCTTTGTCTTTCTCTTTTTTTTCTCTCTCTCTCTTTCTTTCTGCCTGTCTGTCAGTCTGTATTGTGCCCCCCCCCCCCCCCCACTCCCTCATGACCGTAGTTATGTTGATGTGCTTGTGTTGTTCGAACGAACGAACGAACAAACGAACAGAGTGAGTTAGACACCCTCGTTGACTGCTTTAAAAGAGATCTAAAGACTCGCTTATTCATCTCTTGACCTACGTCGTCCAGAAGTTGATTAAAAAAAAAAAATGGGGGGGGGGGGGGAGAGGGGGGTTATAAAGCGAGCACGGAAGATGTCCAGATTCTTTAGTGGCGTATAGATTTTCGTTAATCTGTTGGTATATTAATTTTCGTTCAGGGGGTGCAATATGATGAACCTATTGTTCTCAAATGTTTGATATAAAATCAGGGCCGCGTTACCGGTACCCGTAAGGCTGTTTAGGCTGTAGCCTTGGGCCCCGCGCCTCAGGGGGCCCCGCGCTTGCAAACACGACGTTTAAAAAATGTTTTTCAACAACAACAAAATTGTCCTCTTGTTGATTTATTGTTGTTGTTAGTTGTTTATATTGCTGTTGTTTTTACAGTTGTTGTTGTTGTTGTTGTTGTTGTTGATGTTGATGAGAAGGATGTTGATGCTACCGCTGTTGCTGTTGTTGTGGCCGCTGCTGTTAGGTTTCGGCTGCCTCATACTTTGTGACAGAAATAGATCTATAAATGTGCTTGTCGTCGTCTTAATCCACATTATTGGTGGATACCGGTAGGCCTACATCTAATCACGTTTTACAGTATAGCTTTCCATCAGTACGGGGTTACAATGCGGTAGTAGTAGCATCAACGTCATTGAGGGGCCCCGGCCCCGCGGCTCATGGACAGCCTGAGGCCCCGCACTTAGTTAACGCGGCCCTGTATAAAATTCTCGGAAAGACGAACTTCTCGTTGATGATACTCTGGTGCCTCAATACCAGTATTTGCACAATGTTTGACACCCAAACCCAGTGAATGTTGGATTCTAGTTGAAATAGTTCTGCCTTTGAATGGGCTTTGAGTGGTGAGCCGTCACAATTCAGTGAAGAAAACTTATATTATCCTATGAACGCCTCAGAAAGCACTGCGGAAACACCACAAGGCAGTTGCTGCAGTGGAGCCCACTGGGAGCACGAAGCAGGGGTAGGCCACGGGAAACATGGAGGAGATGACGTGGTATGGGACATGGGACAGTTGAAACTCACTTGGAACGAGCTTGGAAGGATGACCCAGGACAGAGATATAAATGGAAGGAGCGTATGTGGCCTATACCCTGCCAGGGGTGAAGGACATTGATGATGATGAAGCTACATTTAGTAATAGGTCATTTGTATAGCGCAAATCCCCGCTCAACAGCAAGCTCTATGCGCTTCACAGTCTATACTATTACCCCGGCAGACCTAAGAGCATTCTGAAACTACCTCAACTTCCTGGGAAGCATACAGTGCAAGCAGCCGTTTATAGGCGCTAAAGCACTAACATACTGACAAGATCTTTCGCTGTTTGTTTTCTGTAGTCCCGCCAAGTCTTTGTGAATGAGAGACAATAAAGTCAATGAAAGTTGAAGGAGACGAATACAATGAATCTATAATGCCGATGGCAGCGCAGAGCAAGGTCAAGAAAGTTGAAGATATTTTTTGATTTCCAGTTGACACCTCTGTTTCCTTTTGTTTGTTGTTACTGTTCTTTGTTTTTGGGTACATGTTTTTGGATGACGTCATCGCGATGTGCAATCCTCCGTCTAGACCGAAAGGCGGCCATGAATGATTGATGTTATTGTATAATTGTATTTGCACATGTTTTGTGCTCCCAGTGACACAATTGTGGATAATTAAAGAGGCAGGCTGCTTCCACCCTGTCCGTTTTGGGCCCGTGGGGGGTGAGAGGGTTGCAGTGTCCCAGCGCAGCAGGCAGACGGAGATTCTTGATAGAAGAAAGACAATGTAAGACACGAATGTCTGAACATTCTGGGATCGAACTCACAGGGTGGGTGGTTGGCGGGTGCTCTGGTTGGTTTGCTTCTTCTTTCCTATCAAACATCCATCCTCCTTATTGCCCCTCCTTCTTTTTTATGTTTGTTACTCTCTTGTAACACCTCTAATATTCTGGCGCTCATATGACCTTATGCAGTTGCGAGCGCAGTAAAACCTCTACTGAAACTAAAAACAAGTAGGAGATGTTTGATATAAGAAAGAAAATGTAAGACACGTGTCTGCACTCTCTGGAATCGAACTCGCATTTCTTCTGCGTTCGGCGAGCGTCTTAACCGCTGTACCAGATATACCTAGATCTACTGGTAATGGTGTATGTTGTGGTGGGATAAAGGTGTCGGAATCCCTGGGGGGGATTTGCGGGGGGGGGGGGGGTGTTACACTTTGGTTTTGTGGGCAGTGAGAGAGAGACAGAGAGAGAGAGAGAGACAGAGAGACACAGAGAGAGACAGAGAGAGAGAGAGAGAGAGAGAGAGAGAGAGAGAGAGAGAGAGAGAGAGAGAGAGAGAGAGAGAGAGAGAGAGAGAGACTGACAGACGGACAGAAACAGAGATCGAGTGATTTTTAAGAGACAGAGAAAGACAGACAGACAGAAACGAAAATAATATAGATATCTTGTCTAGTGCTGAATGTGGTTCATGGCGAGTGCCATATGCCTTTGAACATGCAAAGATGGTCCTCTGAAAGCCCAAAGTCATGAACACATTTAATTGAACATAAGCTGACCCGGGCAACACAATAATATAATTATAAATGTATTAATATAGCGCATGTCCACGCTCTGTACACTTTACAACTGTCATTACTTCAGCTAACCAGAATGCTCAGACAGTCTTGGCTTCTCAGGAAGTACGCAGTGAAGCTGCAAATTGTCTTTGCTTTTGTTTGGTTTTTGTTTGTTTGGATTTTTTGTTTGTTTCTATCTTGAGTTACCTTTATCATTATGTCAATGTACTTCTTTGAGTTACCATTATCATTAATAGCCATTATCATTATGTCAATGTACTTCTTTGAGTTACCATTTTCATTAGGTCAATGTACCTGAGTTACCATTTGCATTAGGTCAATGTACTTTTTTCCTCCCACTCTCACAGGTGCCCTGTTGGTCAGCAAAAGAGCGTGGCCAACTCTTCACAAGACGTATTTCGGAGGTGGAACCGTTGCCATGAGCACAGCAAGGGAGAGAATTCATGCCTTCCGACTCGCTCTACACGACAGGTGGGTCAAAATTAATCAAGGTGGATTTTTTTTTACGCTCCCATTGACACAATTTAGATTGTTAAGGCCAGCTCGGGCAGAGAAGTACAACATCCAAGCAAAAAGATCAAGATGCTTGATAAAAAATATTATTTTCGTTTCTGTCTTATACTGGTGGTCATTAGAGCAGCTTTCACTGTACTTATAATTACACTTTTGGATATTATGGTGTGGGTGGTTGACGAGTGCTCAGGTGTGGTTTGCTCCTTCTTTCCTATCAAAGATCTTTTGTCCTTATCTTGCCTTCGTCTTTTTTTGTGTTTGTTACTCTCTCGCTACACAGCTAATCTTCGGCACTCATATGATCTAATTGTGTTGCAAGAGCTGTAAAACGCTGACTAAACTAAGACATTATGCTGTCTGTCAGGTTTGAGGATGGGACCCCGCCCTATCTGAGCATCATTAGCCTGAGACATGGACTGGACACCGTACAACGACTGGCAGGTACGCTTGACGTTTGAGTCTCTCTGTATGCACGTGTGTTTTTTGTGTCTGTGTGTGGCATTGTTGTGAAGGTAGGAGCTCCTCAAAATAATTAAATGGATGAGTTGGACATTATTCTGCTAATCTGGCAATTTTAATTTAATTTTTCTTTTGTTTCAACACTTTTTATGTACATTAGAAAATACATTTCTTTATAGATTTTACTGAAATTAATGGCATAAAAGAATGTAAATTTGCAGTTTCCTAAGACATTCAAGCTTTGGAAGTCACCAAACTTTGTGGCCATTTTTCACTTAGTCAAAAGAAAGACAAATGAACAAACTTTCATTAAGATGATACCAGTTACTCCATATGCCCAAGATTTGACGATCAACCGATTCCTCCATGTTTAAAGTCGATTAACTCTGTCTGTACATTATGTTTTACTATCCTATCCATACAACGTGGGGAACTCGGTGCCACCATGTTCCAAAGAGGAAATTTACTCGTTAATCTGATCCGTACGCTTTGCACAGCAGTCTGTCAAAATTATTTTTTGAGAAATACTGAAAGTTTCAAAGAGATCTTCTTACTAGAAGTGTTCTAAAATGTGAAGAATACAACCCCAGGGGTACAAAATGACCCCAGGGTGGGAAACTTCTGTTATAATCAAAGGGTCATAACTCAGTTGTTTTGCAAAATTTTCTAAATTATGTCCCCTTGATCTTTTGCCTACTTTTAGCGTATTTACTCAGGACAGATCTGGACAGGTCTAGGGGAAAACTATTCTGAGTGACATTTTGTAAATTTTACAAGAGAAGGAAAAAACTTTCTCATTTCAACCAAACGCAATTCTAGGAATCCGAAACTCACATGTAGTGTAGAAAAAACAAACTCTAACTCATTTTGTAATTTTTTTTCTAATCAATTTCTTCCTTTCTTTAAAACTAAGTGTCACTTAGAATACTTTTTGTCTGAACAAAAGTGTGAGGAAAACTATTCTAAAGCGGTACTTAGAATAGTTCCGTTTGTTTTTAGCAGAGCCATTTAAGAAGAAAAGTATTTGAACTTTTGTGCCTACAGCAGTTTTCTTCACTTTCTAGCACCGATAGCAATTTTTGAAGTGGGAAAAATATTTTAACTGCCACATATAATACTTTTCCTCAAAATGTTTTCTCAAGTAGGAGATAAAATAATTTTTCTTTGGGCTGTAATTCTCTCATTTTGAGAGGTACTGCTCTGATGTTTTAATATAAGCTGCGTCCCTTGGTGGAAGTTAAGGCCGTTGAAAAATCTCCATTTCAGCTGACATGTCGCTTACCATGGTTTTCTTCCAGACCTGCAAGATGGTTTTTCTATCTGTTCCAGAATTTTTTGTTAGCTGTCCAAAACTGGTTTTTGTGCTCTGGAAACCATTGTAGTTCTTCTTAAGTCTCTCATTTAGAAAAGGTAGAGAAGTGATAAATAGAGTATAATACTATCTGATTTTGGAAACTTTGTACGAGGGGTATTTTATAGTTTAATTTATGCTAATTTGGTTTTGGTAAAAAAGCATTTCATTCATGTATTTAGGTTGCACCACAATGCTCCCCCCCCCCCACCCCTGCTTTTCCCCCAGATAAATGTTTCCTATCCTTTCATTTTAATATATTTTTTTATGGCCTAGGGATTTTCCTGTAAGTTGATGATAGCATTTATCTTTGAAAAGTTGTCTCTTGTAATTGTAAATATTTTACATCCCCTTTGGCACAATTTAGATTGTTTAAGACCAATGAGCTGTGACCTGTCAGCTTCGCCATTTTGATATGAGTTGTCTCATTAGACTAATAAAAGAAGTCATCTCCACTCATCTCAGTTTTTTAAATATCTTATTACAACCTTGAAGCGTGGGTGGATGGAGGGTGCCACTGGTAGGTCTTACTTCTTTACTTTCCCTCTAATATTTCTTTCTGTTTGTCTGTCTTACTTTTTCCCAGCACTAAATGATTGTTATTGTACCAATGTTCTTCTTTCTACTTAAACAAACAAACAAACAAACAAACAAACAAATTAACGAACAAACAAACAAACAAACAAACAAACATCCGTGAAGCCCTTCAGTGCACGTGATGTGGTGTCTGTATATATACATATATGCAGTAAGTAGTTTGAAGGTACCATAAATAGTATGTCCCAATACTTCCCTTTCCCTTGATGTTTCTGTGTGTCTTTCTTTCAGTCCGTGGTTGGTGTGTGCTCTTTTTTTGTGGTTTTTTTTTTCTTCTTTCCTATCAAACATCTGTCATCCTTATCCCTCTTACTTCATTTCTTTGTATGTTACTTTCTAAATACACCTCTTATCTTCGGTGTAGTGTTTATATGACTCATGACTTTATATTATGTGTAAAACGTCTACTTAATAATTTTAGTCTTAAACTATGAACCTCTTCTTTCTGTTTCTCAGCACTACAATGACCATTGTTAAATTGATGTGTGCTTCTCCCCCCCCCCCCCACTGTATCATGATGTTGTTAAATGTGTTGTGTGTGGGCTTGGTCAAGCACCAGATCGGAAAATATACATTGGCGATCGTTGTAGAACTCACATTTCTGTTCAGATGCTTTCGTAAAACCTTCATTATCTTTTTCCTATCATCCATCTGTTCAAAGTCTCTAAGTAAGTTATTTTTGGTCTTCCTCTTCCTCTTTTGCCTACCGTCATTCCAGTGGGAGCCAGATGCTCATATGATCTAAATAGTGTTTTTGGTGGCTAGTAAAACGTCTACAAGTACTGTACATTTCAAGATGTTTATAGCCTTTATGTCTATTCTAGTGATGGTTTTCTAAAGTTTTAGAAAGTTGGCGAGTGCTCTGGTGTGGTTTGCTCCTTCTTTCGTTTCAGACATCTATCATCTTTATCTCCCCTTCTTCTTTTTTATGTTTGTTACTCTCTTGTGAAACCTTTTTTCTTCCTTCTGGCGCTCATATGACCTTATGCAGTTCCGAGCGCCTTAAAACCTCTACTAAAACTAAACTAACTTAAGTTTTACACCTTCCCAAGTCAGCGGCATGTGGCGTTGGTGGTCAAGGGATTAGGCTACAGGACCCTTAATTGTGAGATTGCAGGTTCGGGTGTTTGAGCCTCAGCTCGGTCCGACCTTGTGTCCTTGGGAAAAGACAACTTTACACAAATGTCTTATTTCGCTCGGTCCTTTCAGAGATGGATGTTAAACTTGGAGATTTGTCCTCTTAAATAATCTAATCGTAGGCTGCTGATTGAGGCTATACCTATAATACGTGGTTGGTTGGCGGGTGCTCTGGTATGGGCTGCTTCTTCTTTCCTATCAAACATCTATCGTCCCTGTCTCCCCTTCTTCTTTTTTATGTGTGTTACTCTCTTGTAACACCTCTAATCTTCTGGCGCTCATATGACCTTTCTGTTCCTATTGTTTTAATCAAGAAAAAATCTGAAATTATGCAAACTGAGCCCAAAAATGTGAAATTATGGGATTCTGTAAATTTTAGCAAAGAATGATAAAGGAAAATGATAAGAAATTATGCAAAAAATTATCAAATTTGACTAAATTATGCAGGGTGCATAAAACCACGGGGACAGGCCTCATGCAGTTGCGAGCGCTGTAAAACCTCTACTAAAACAAATACCTATAATACGATGTCCCGATTTTCCCCAGGTGGTATGGAGAAAGTATCACGACATGTGTTTGCTGTTGCCCGCTACTTCTACTCCAGCCTGAAGAATCTCCGCCACGGCAACGGTCAGCCTCTGGCCTTGATCTACGGGGAGGGAGACTTCACAAGTCCCAGTGGTCAAGGGGGCCTGGTCACCTTCAATCTCCAGAGAGCCGACGGAAAGTTTATAGGTTATGCTGAGGTGGGTGCGTGCGTGTGTGTGTGTGTGTGTGTGTGTGTGTGTGTGTGTGTGTGTGTGTGTGTGTGTGTGTGTGTGTGTGTGTGTGTGTGTGTGTGTGGGAGAGGGGGGTGGGGAGAGCGGGTGGTTGCTGTGTGTGTGGGGAGGGTGTATGCTCGTGTGTGTGTGTGTGAGTGTATATGTGTTAGTGTATGTGTGTGTGTGTGTTTGTGTGTGTGTGTGTGTTTGTGTGTGTGGGTGGTTGCTGTGTGTGTGGGGAGTGTGTAGGCTCGTGTGTGTGTGGTGTGTGTGAGTGTATATGTGTTAGTGTATGTGTGTGTGTGTGTGTTTGTGTGTGTGGGTGGTTGCTGTGTGTGTGGGTGGAACAGACTTCTGTTGTCTGTAAGTGTGTAGGTGGTTGGAGGGTGGTTCTGGCTGGTCTTACCTTGTTTTGTTTTCTCATATAATATTTTAAAGAAACAAATAAATACAAAGCAAGTTAAAAAAAAATAATAGTTAAACTGAAATAAATTGAAAGGAAAATGAAAATAAGTCTTTTAAGCATTAATAAATTTAATGCAAATACAAGAGTACAATCAAAATAGGGCTTTTGTTGATCCCCAGAGGAGAGTTTTGACTTCTTTGGGTTGACTCTATTAAAACTTTTATATATACCACAGGTGGACAAGTTTGCCCAGTTGCATGACGTTCATTTGCGCACCGGATGTTTCTGCAACATTGGTGCTTGTCAGCGCTACCTGAAACTCTCTTCTAAAGTCATCAAGGAGAATTTTGCTGTAAGTTTGTGGCTTTTTTTGAGTGAGTAGTTGGAAGGTTTTACTCCTATGTCCTTGCTTACTTCTTTTCTATCCCAGGTTGTTTCTGTCTTTCTGTCTGTGTGGGTGGTTGGCGGGTGCTCTGGTGTGGTTTGCTTCTTCTTTCCTATCAAACATCCATCGTCCTTTTCTCCCCTCCTCCTTTTTTATGTTTGTTACTCTCTTGTAACACCTCTAATCTTCTGGCGCTCATATGACCTTATGCATTTGCTAGCGCCGTAAACTTTACTTTTACTTTTATCCTCTGCTTTTACCCTTTCGGGTGTCGCGGGAAGAAAGAAACGTCTCTCTGTCGCCAGCCGGAGAGCTTGGGTCAGGGGGATGCCGTGGGTTGTTAATGTTTCCCTGACTCCATCTATCCAGGTCTTTCTCGGTCGCCCTCTAGCCTTGTCGCCATCAAATTTTTGGATATAGGCACGTTGTGCTGGATGGTGTGTTGGTAATCGTAGGAGATGACCGAACCCTTTGATTCCTTGGTGTTGGATGTGAAGCATGACATCATTTGTGCCCACCATTTCTCGGATTACACAGTTTCTAATTTTGCCTCGCCTGGTCTTGTTTTCTGCTTTTCTAAGGCATCACATTTCACATGTTGTAATTCTTTGCTCTAATGCCTTGTTCGTGGCCCATGTTTGGCATTGATAGGTGAGTGTTGGGATGAATATGGTGTTGATCATTTTGAGTTTTGTTGTCATGGAGATGTTAGGATGTTTCAGTAGTGGAGCAAGCTGGTAACTAACATTATTGGCCTTTTGTACTCGTGCTCCAATTTCTCTGTTCAGTCGCACATCCTCTGTGAATATACTTCCGAGGTACTTAAATTCTTCGACCTGTCTGAGACTGTTGTTGTTGATGTTTATCCTGAGTGGTTCTGGCTTTCTGCTTACTTTCATTGTCTCTGTTTTGTTGATGTTGATCTTCATGTCGTAGTTGTTACATTCTTTGTTTAATCTGGTGGTGTGGTGTTGAAGACTTCGTTCATCTTTGTGTGCCAGGCTTTGGTCATCAGCGAAGAGTAAGTCATTTAGGGCGTCTGGTGAATTGTTGGCCTCTTTAGTAATTCTATCCATATATATGATAAATAGTACTGGTGATAGAACACAACCTTGTCTTACTCCGGATGTTATCTCGAACTATTCTGTGAGTCCCTCAGACGTCCTTACTGTACTTATGCTGTTCTCAGCGTCGTAAAACCTCTACTAAAACAACAAAACTTTCCAATGTGTTACCTCCCCCCAGGCCGGTCACGTGTGTGGAGACAACATGGATCTCATCGACGGTCAGCCCACTGGCGCTGTCCGCATCTCTTTTGGCTACATGTCCACTCTCTCCGACGCTCGTGTCTGTCTGAGGTTTATCGCAGATACTTTCCTGGACAAGCCCGCAGAAATCCCTTTGTTTTCGTTCCCCGAGTGGTATGTACAGAGGTCGTCTGAGGTGGAGAGTACAGGCAGCTTGACGTCACCTGGAAATGCCGAGATGAAGACAAAGAGAGAGGAAGTAGCGCAAAATGGAACTGTCAAAAGTAAGTGGGGGGGGGGGGGTGTCAAGTATACTGATTTGTTGTCAGTGGTACGTTGGAATTTCATGCTGTTGACCTAGATTTGAATTTGGAACACATTGAGACATTTCATTTTTCTGTCTTTACTTTTACAGTTTTGATCCCTACTAAAGATGAATTTTTTAAAGAATTATCACTGGATGTAAAGAATAATTTATGGAAAAAGGTGTGAATATCTCACTCAAACTGAAAGAGGAGACTTTGTTTTTGTAAAAACAATTAGAATTGTTGGAAAAAATGTAGCATCTAGTGTCAGTGTGGAATGCAAGAAGATTGTTTAGTGCTTTGGTTCAATTGATGAATTTCTCACTAACCATCTGTTCAAGTGGTCTGAGCATGTCTTTCTTGACCTATGTCGGCCTCTTGTGTCCTGTTTTTGCCAATGGGAGCAGGATATTCAAGGCTTTATGACAATTTTAGCGTCTCAGAAAGGAACTCCCAGGTTCTGCATTATGTCTCTTTCTTATTGTATTTATTAGTGACCATCCCACGCAGGCTTATTTCAACACAAGTTGATTTTGATTTCTGTTCCTTCCTCATGCTAAACACCAGTGTCTGTGGTGTAGTGCTTAGGCTCTGTGTTGTTGCAGGAAGGAATCCTAAGTGATTCCTGAGCTCAGAGAATTTTTATCAAGTTTGTTTTAGTAGAGGTTTTACGGCGCTCGCAACTGCATAAGGTCTTATGAGCACCAAGGGTGGATGTCAACAGAGAAGTCCTTACAGGGAATTGGGCTTACTCTGATCGCCTCTCTAGCTTCAACAGCACAAAGTCTGCTTCGACTATCAAGGCACCCCGGAAATAGCAGGTCACAAGAGTGTGACAAACATACTGAAGAAGTAGAGGAAAATGACGATAGTAAGGATTTGGAAATAAAAAGCAGCAGTTCCCTGTTGTAGTTCAGGCGCAGTTATGAGAATGACATTGTTAAATCAGCCCACTTACAATTCTACTGTGCATTAGAACGATAAATGTCCCCCCTTAGGGAATGGCCTAAAGACACTACAGTCGGGGAGAGAGAAATAGAGAGAGAGAGAGAGAGAGAGAGAGAGAGAGAGAGATTGATCGATTGTCGAGGGGTGTTATCAAGTATCTTTGTCTTTGTGCTGTAATGTCCATAGCACGGGCTGGTCTTGACATGCAGAGTAAAAAAACACAAAAAAAACAACATCTTCCAAATGATCTTAATTGTGAAGATTTGGGTATAAAAACATGTACATTAAAAACAAACGAAACAAACCAGTTAAACAAATAAAAAAATGCGTTCACCGTGTGTTGTGCCCTCCCAGATGACCTGACCCACGTCACTAACGGTGACCTCCAGCACCAGGACGCCGTGACAGGCCCCAGCGTGTCGGAGACGTGCTCCGAGTCGACGCGGAGAGTCACCGACATCTACCTGTACCCTCTCAAGTCTTGTGGGGCTTTCCGGGTGAGTGACGGGTCAGAAGGTCTACAGAGACCGAAATACAGTTGAACCTGCTTTAAAAGCTACCTGTCATCATCATCATTGCCTTTCTCACCCTGGATCGTGGGTGGTTGGCGGGTGCTCTGGTGTGGTTTGCTCCTTCTTTCCTATGAAACATCTATCGTCCTTATCTCCCCTTCTTCTTTTTTATGTTTGTTACTCTCTTGTAACACCTCTATTCTTCTGGCGCTCATATGACCTTATGCAGTTGCGAGTGCCGTAAAACCTCTACTAAAACTAAAAACTAACTTACCCTGGATCAGGATATAGGCCACGAACAAACGCTTAAAGGCTACCTGTTCTCTACTGTTATTTCTATAAAGAACCACTTCCTCTCCCCCAATCCCATTGGGTTTTTTGGGGGGGAATCATAGAGCCACTGTCCTAGACGTTGACCTTTTAAAGACAATCACTTTTCTCCTCGACAGTGCCTGACTGTCTTGAGCAATTTTGACCGTATGTTCTAAACTTATGTAAATTTTTATACATATATCGTCACCATTCCAAGAAAAGCTAGCGACTTTGATTAATGTTTCATTGCTTACTATGTAAAGCACAGTTAAACGAGGTTGAACATTTTTCTTGATAGGCCTACATGTTTGATGTCAGACTGGTATTGCTATCTTTGTAGAAGTGGATTAAAATGCAGTAAAAAAGCTCTTGTTGGTTATGGGTTTTTTTGGGGTTTTTTTTTTGTTGTTCTAAAGATTATTTCAGTGACGTGTTCTAGAAAAATGAACATATATACAAAACATCTTCCTTATCATCAGCCAATTTTTGTCTTGGATACAATTTGACTTTTCATAAGCCCTGCTCACAATTACGCATCCATATTGAACTTAACAGTGCAGATTTGATAGAATGTATCATGTAACAAGTACTTTGTCTTTCAGGGGTGGGGGAGGGGGTGGTAGTTAGACTCATGACACCACCTTTGAAAAATTATAGAGTTGTAGAACTTGCTGAGAACGTTCAGAAATAGATGTGTTCTGTTGGCTTTCAAATCTTAAATGTCCATAATTAAGTGAAGCTGGTCGCATTCTATGTGAGTGTCACATTTAGACAGATACACAACAATTATGAACCCACCAATTTTGTGCCAGTGTTGGTGAGACTGTTCACCATGGCATGCAAGCAACATGAGTTCGATTCTAACATGGGAGACTTATTTTCTCGAGTATCTCAGTTTGTCTGCCAGGTTGCTGTTAGTGTTTACTGCTCAGCCTGGGTTAGCCCTACTGGCAGAGTTGAAGACATAAAACAGTGATTATAATTATTTTTTCACTATCATGACCAAAAGTTTCTCTTGGTGTCTGCCAGACCGGTGGCGTCGGTGGGCCTTGTGGTTAGGCTACCGGACTCTTAATCGTGAGATTGCGGGTTCGGGTGTTCGAGCCTAAGCTCGGTCCGACGTTGTGTCCTTGGGCACTTTACACGAATTTCCCTCTTGGCTCAGTCCTTTCGGAGACGGACGTTAAACTTGGAGGCCTCGCCTCTTAAATAACCTAATAGTGTTGATAGGGGCGTTAAAACTATACCATTTCACCATTTTTTTAATCTGCCAGACCAGTGAGTGGGAGATGGGCACCAAAGGCCTCCTGTACGACCGGGAGTGGATCCTGGTCAGTGACACGGGAGTGACCATCGGTCAAAAGAGAGAGCCCAGGATCTGTCTGCTGTGTCCAGAAATCAACTTGAGCACCCGGAAATTGATTCTCAGTTTTCCTGGTCAGTGTTGTTGTCTGTCCCCGGGGTTTTATGAAAAAAAAATTTAAAAATTCTGAAATTATGCAAACTGAGCCCAGAAATGTGAAATTGCGTGAATCTGTTGATTTTAACAAAGAATGAAAATAATCAGAAATTATGAAAAAATTAATGATCAAATTTTTGCTAAATTGTGCGGGGTGCGTAAAACCACGGGGACAGTGTGGTACATATATATGGGTGTCTTTGATAGTGCTGGGGCTACTGATAGTCTATACGGGTACTTTGTTCTTGTCAGCTGTCTTCTTCCTCTTCTTCGTAATGTGGGTGGTTGGCGGGTGCTCTGACGTGGTTTGCTTCTTCTTTCCTATTAAATGCGCCGTAAAACCTCTTACTAAAAACTAAAACTAAAAAAGAATAGAAACTGTTTGTCTTCTGTCTGCCTTCACTTTTGTAATAGAAACAGTATGTCTTCTCTTTTGTCTGTAGCTGTTGCAACATGTCTCCTGGTTTTTCTGTAATGGAAACTGTTTGTCTCAGTGGGTGGTTGGCGGGTGCTCTGTTATGGTTTGCTCCCTCTTTCCTATCAAACATCTGTCGTCCTTCTCTCCCCTTC